CTGGGATCCTATGACCCCAGCTGACTTCCTGCCTTTCGGGCAGGGGGCTGGACTCAATGTTCTTCCAAGGTCCCTTCCAGCCCTAATGTCCATGAAATATGAAATCCTCAACTAGATCATCCCAGCCAAAGCTTTGTTTATCCGGGTCTTAAAAACCTCCAAGAATGGAGATCACGCAACCTCTGGGCAACTTCTCTTGGTAACATGTGTTGACTCAGATAGCCACGTGTTTTTTGTATGAGTGAACCTTAATTTTGCATCACGTTTCTCATTTAGCCCTTTATAATAACACTAGAAATGTGCCAGTGGGTGTTTCATAGTTTCATAGATTTAGGGTCGGAAGGGACCTAGTAGATCTTCTAGCCCGACCCCCCGCCAGGGTGGGAGAACAACAAAACCCCAAAAACAAAAACGGGACTCAAATGAGTCCAGCCAGGTAGGCATCCAGCCTCTTCTTAAAGACCCCCAGGGTAGGGGCCAGCACCACTTCCCTTGGAAGTTGGTTCCAGCTCCTAGCCGCCCTAACTGTGAAGTAGTTTTTGCGGATGTCCAATCTATACCTCCTCTCCATCAACTTGTGCCCATTACTCCTTGTTATGCCAGCGGGCGCTAGGGGAAACAGCGTCTCCCCCAAACCCTTCTGGTCCCCCCTAGTGAGTTTATAGACGGTCACCAGGTCCCCCCTCAGCCTTCTCTTGTGGAGGCTGAATAGGTTCAGGTCCCGCAGTCTCTCACTGTAGGGTCTGCCCTGTTGTCCCCGGATCATGCGGGTGGCCCTCCTCTGGACCCTCTCCATGTTGTCCACATCCCTCTTGAAATGGGGCGCACAGAACTGGACACAATACTCCAGCTGTGGCCTGACCAGTGTCGCGTAGAGGGGGAGGATCACCTCCTTGGCTCTACTCGAGATGCACCTGTGGATGCACGACAAGGTCCGGTTAGCCCTGCCAACCATGACCTCGCATTGTCGGCCCATGTTCATCTTGGAGTCAATAATGACTCCAAGATCTCTTTCTGCCTCCGTGCTCTCAAGTAGGGAGTTCCCCATTGTGTAAGTGTGCTGCTGGTTCCTACTGCCCAAGTGCAGCACCCTGCACTTGTCCGTATTGAAACGCATCCTGTTCCTGTTAGCCCACCCCTGTAACCTATCCAGATCCCTCTGCAATCTCTCCCTCCCTGCTAGCGTGCTCACCTCCCCCCAAATTTTGGTGTCATCAGCGAATTTAAACAGGTTACTTTCCACCCCATCATCCAGATCGCTGATGAAGAAATTGAACAGCGCAGGCCCCAGGACCGAGCCCTGGGGGACTCCGCTACCCACCTCCCCCCAGGTCGAATATGACCCATCCACCACCACCCTCTGAGTGCGACCCCTCAGCCAATCTGCAATCCATCTGACTGTGTAGGCATCGATGCCACAGTCGCCTAGTTTTTTAACTAGGATGGGGTGAGAGACGGTGTCAAAGGCCTTGCTGAAGTCCAGAAAGACTACATCCACCGCGACACCTGCATCCATGGCCTTTGTGACCTGATCGTAGAAGGCAATCAGGTTGGTCTGACATGATCTCCCCCTAATAAATCCATGCTGATTGCCCCTGAGCATCATTTCTGATGCCGGCCCATCACAAATGTGCTCCTTGATGATCTTCTCAAAGAGTTTCCCCAGGATTGAGGTAAGACTGACGGGCCTATAGTTGCCCGGGTCCTCCCTCTTCCCCTTCTTGAAGATGGGGACCACATTTGCTACCTTCCAATCATCTGGCACCTGGCCCAAGCACCACGATCGCTCATAGAGCCGTGCCAGGGGCCCTGCAATAACCCCAGCTAGCTCCCTCAACACCCTGGGGTGGAGAGCATCCGGACCCGCTGACTTGAACGCGTCCAGCCCCTCCAGAAGCTCTCTAACCCGGTCCTCCCCAACCTGAGGTCTGAAGGCGATCCCCTCGAGTCCGGCTTCTATCACAGCAGGGAAGTCCCGGTCCCTGCACAAGAAAACGGAGGTGAAGAATTGGTTAAAGAGGTCTGCTTTCTCCTCTGACGCAACCACCAGATTGAATTCTGCTTTGCACTACACATATTTTCTCCTGCTGAAAGAAGTGGGCATCGAACAGGACAAAGGCAGCATTGGCTTAGACCCTGCTGCTATAAACATAGTTTCCCTCACTGTGTTTCTAGTGACAAGACTCCTAATATAGACTGCATTTGAAAATCCTCCTCTCTTTTTCAGACATGCTGTTTATTCACACTTCACACCCTTAGAAGGTGAAGCCTGACTAGATTTAGTTTTACTCTGTGGGTTTATTTAGCACTGCTGGGCTGGCTTCAGCATGAGGATGTGTGCTGGAGACTGCTGACAGCTAAAGGGAGGCACTGAAGGAGTCTTGAAGAAACTTCAATTTGTATTAGGAGAAAACATGTTACTTATAGTAAAAATAGGGGACTGTTGTTCCTGCCTTGGCCATTCATTGGCTGTGGGACTTTGGGCAGCTCAGTGCACCTACTTATGCCTCATTTCCAAAATTCAATGTGGCATAATCAAAGCTGGGGAAAACAACAGTTCCACTTAGTGGAAAATGTCCTGGTTTTGAAGTTTGGTTGTATTACAATATGAATAAAATAGGAGAGGGAGAGAAATCTCCATTCCAGGGTAGCTAAATGGCCTGGTGGTTAAATCACTAGCTTAGGGTATAGGAACCCAAGGTGGAAGTCTCTGCTCTGATTATGTGGGACAGATAAAACTAAACTAAAACTGGGCTCCCTCATGTTGGCTGGTTGGGACTCAATGGGTCTCTTCATCTCTGAGTAGAAACCACTAGGCCCTGGGACACCTACCCAATGGGAATTTCCTCTGAAATGATGCATTGCTTCGAACAATTTTCATTTGGGCAACTTAGCCTTCTTCAGTGAGGGAGTGGGGAGAGAAAATTTTGCAAATCTTCTCTTCCTTATTTTTTTGAACGGCTCCAGTATTTGCTTCTAATTGTGCTCCTAAACAGCTTGGTAAACTTTGTCATGGAAGAAGTTAAAACCCCCCTTGTTAGTTCTGTGCTAGTTCTGTTGTATGATTTGCACCTTTCCAGAGCAAACGGCAACCACTCTCCCTCCTTTAAGAATGCCTCATATTTCTCATTAATCTTACAGTCCCATCCAGGGGGAGCTCAGATTTCCCAGCAGGGAAAT